TATCCTGGTCACGGCACCAAAATACATGTGGTGACAATTTGGGTAAAGTATAGTGGGACAATTGTTACAATTTAGTACTAATGCATTTTTACAACTAAGGCCTATCCCAAATCATCACCAACACATACAAATAAAGTATAAAAAAATATCTGTCCAGAAATAATGATCACAAGGGATAGAATTAACTTAAGCAATTTTAATGATGATCAACTCAATTATCAAGATTTACTCATGAGAATAAATTTGACCATGTGGCATAATAAAATAAGATCATTACAAATTATACTATATTACTATATACTATATTAAATTATACTATACAAATTATATTATATCAACATGTGACAAACAGATTTGAAGAATCTTTAAGAAAAGGGAATCACTGCTGGAGTTAATAAAATCTAAAGTCACTTATCTTGCACATGTGCTTAAAAATGTTGAGGAGCTGATGATCTATTTGTAAGTGGCAGGATATTATTCGCTGGATTTATCTTAATTGTTCAGTCCTGTTGCAGCCATTCTTTCAGGGTAGATGTATCTTTATTCTTCAGAATTTTCTACCAAAAATCCTTTTCTCCACTTCTTCTAGCAGCTAGTCCAGTCCTCTCCCCTCTCTTCCTCACCTCTCTCCTGCCCCTCTTCACAGGTTTTCAACCCTTACACAAAAATTGGCAGACCAAAACTGCTTAATTTATTTACAGAGAGGCTATCTAAAACAGTCAGACAGTTTGGGCAGAAATAGGCTCACTGATAGTCATAAAAAGGAAAGAGAGCTGTAGCAACACTACATTATATTTTTCATATTCGAAAAATATCGCTCATGGCTCGCAAGGCACTGGCCACTGCTTTATAGACAATAAAAATTGTTTTTTTCACCTTTTAAATTATTTTTATGTAATACATAAAATCATATTACATGATTAATTACATTACATCCCATTTCCATTATGCTTCATTCTGAATTTTCCGTGTTTTTTTTTTTTCCTTTTTTATGTATATTTAAAATGTTTCATTACATTGTTTTTCACATTTTAGAAGATTGATGGTGAATTGTTTCGAACAATGCTATGAAAGCTGTTTTTACAAATAAGGCAATTTATTGTGTTTGCACATAACATCATTCATAATTTGCGAGAAATTTAATTTTTGATGATACAATCGTTTACGGTTTGATTGCGATTTAAAGTTTAATTCAATTAAAGATTTCCTTAACATTAATTATAAATTTTGATTGACGTAAAAGGATAAAAAAATTGACAGATAATATTAAACATAATACAAATAGTTAATTTTGTGACAATGGCATTTCTTTACACATTTATCATCTAAACTTCCGCTCGTTTTTAAAATTTTCACTTTATTATAAAAGACATCTTTAGATTTTACTCAGAGCATCTCAGTACTCTCATCAACAAGATTGTTGAATTCCTCTCATTCTCAATTAATAACATTTCATAAAATGAATACGTTTAACTTGAGAATTTCAGCTTTCCTAAATTTTTTTCTCGTGCTAGCAGTATTCCAGATAAACTGTAAGTAAAACAAAAATTGCTTTGTTTCGATATGTTATGTTTTTGTGGGGTGCTTTAATATTCTGGTAGGTAGCAATCACAAAGATTGCTTCTCTACGTTTCGTACATATTCCATTTCACTCCGAATTTGAGCATAGGGCTTCTATCATAGCTTTCCATCTCAATTTATTTGTGGCCAGATATTTTGTTTCTCTCCAAGTCTTTCCTATTGTTTTCAATTCATTTACAATCGTCCTGTACCAAGTATGCTTAGGTCTTCCTCTTTTTATTATGCCCGGAGGGTTTAGATCAAAAAAACTTGTTTTATTTTAAATTTTTCTGTCTTACGTAGAACATGACCATTTTCGTTTTTCAATTTCCAGATTAATCGGTTTCTGTTTTACTTTTCTAAGGATTTCTGCACTACAGAACCACTTGATAAGCAAAATTCTTCTTAGACAGTTGTTAATAATTACTTGTAGTTTTATTCATGTTATTTCTATTGCAGTGCTATGTCTCAGATGCACATAGTAGGACAGATTTAACATTCGTATAGAAAATTCAAATTTTTGTTGAATTTGTTACGGTTTTGTTTTTCTAGAATTTATTGAGAATAGCATAACTGCTTCGGGCTTTGTTTTATCGATTTAGAATATCGTAATCAGTTCCTCCTTTGTGGTTAAATATGCTTTCAAGATACGTAAAACTGCTTACCTCCACTAGTTTATTATTTTTTATGAATATATCATTTAATTAAAGATTAATTTTCAAAATTTTAGTTTTATTTTGGTTGATAATAAGCTCTATTCTCTTTGCCTGTAAGTAAAAAACTGTTTAAAAACAAAAAAGGATAAATGAACTTAATGTGACTTTTTTTATATCAGATATTAGCATATGGTATTTTATTTTAAAATGATTCCACGCTAATAACCGTATAAATCTGCTCTTATTTCATAAATTGCATAATTTTGGCTTTTATATTTAATTTTGATTTTAACTCTTTGGCGCAAATTGCAGACCGGTGGCTCCTTCATATCTTTTTTTCTGACAAAATTATGATTTCAAATTACAAGCCAAAATATATTTTGCTATTTCTTAATTATAAAAAACAATAAAATTTTTATTTAAAAAATATGCTTGATTTTGGAATTATTATCTGTTAGATTAAAGAATTATACTACTTTACTAAGATTTAAAATGCAAAAAAGTACTAATAGAAATTTTTTTATTTAATTTATATTCAAAATGTATTATTGATAGAAATTGAAAATTAAAGAAGTTTCAATGTAGAATAACTGTTTCTGAGATCTAAATAACCGCAAACAAGTGCTAATTTAAAAATTAATTTTTGAAAGTGAGCCACGATTAGAAGATTTCACCATTAACTTAGAAAAAGACACCAGTGTTTCATACTGTATTTCATAACCATAAATTAATAAAGTGCTAAATATAATATTTTTCATTTATTTTGACCTAAATAATACAAAATAAGGAAAAAGTATAAAAAATATGCTTAATAAAAATAGAGCGTCAATGGTTAAGGTAAATTTATTGCCTTAAAGCAAATATTTTTGGTTGTAAGGTTAGAAAGTTATTTTGGCTTACTTAAATAAATATATCATTTATCACAATTTAAGATAAAGAATTCTCCAATGTAGTTATATAGGCCATTTTAGATAACCAGTTCACATTTGTATTTCTAGAATTTAACCCTTTGTAGCAGATGGGACACCGAAGTCTCTTTCATATATTTTTTTTCTAACGCAATTACAAATAAATGCTGTAATTACAAATAAAAATTCATTCTGGCATTTTTTTTAATCCTAAAAAAACAGTTTAAAAATTTTTAAAAATCTCTTAGATAATTATCATTTGAATTAAACTTTTACCTTATGTGCTTTTGTACTGAAATATAAAAACCAGTAAAAAAAAGTTGCGAATTTTTTTTTGGTCTTATTTAAAGATCTATATATATATTTCTCTTACACGGCGACAAAAAAAAGCCTCATTACAACTCCCCGAATGGCAACGCTGAAAAATCGACCAATGATTGCCGCTAAAAATGTCACATGCCAAATATAGCTGAGTTGGCTCAACATATAGCGCTCTTAAAAACGGAAACTGAAATAACCAGAGAGAACATTCCGAAATTCACCCTATCAGCTACGGCAATCTCATACTCTTAAGCTAGGCAGAAGTGAGTAGTCTTTGTCGATAGATCTCTATTTTAGTATTTTGTCGAAAGCGCTTTTTTTCACTCCAAAATTTCAACCTTTTTAAAGAGTTTTAGAAATTTCATCTTAAGATTTTATACTATAGCACATTTCTAATAGGTTTAACGATTTACATGTCATTCATTTGAATTCAAATTTATTTTAATGACTTAGTATTTACTAAAAAGATGTAATTTAAAAAAAAAAAAATTGTTATATGGATTTGAATGATTGTTTTGAATTCTTAGAATATTGTGCATTTGCAATGTACTCAAGTTAGTAGCGAGCGAAGCGAGCTTGGTTTGCGAAGCAAACCTTATAAGATGGCGTAGCAATTTTCGGGGGTTGGCGAGCTTTAGCGAGCAGGGGGCGTAGCCCACTAGTTTATCAATAATTGATTTAGTAAATTAAAAAATTTCAACTATGAATTACTGTTTCTCTTAGTTTTAAATTACGGCAAATGAGTGTTAAGTTGTAATTATTATCTGGATGCAGACCGTCTGTCTAGATTTTCCAAGCGCGTATTGCTTAAATTTTTTAGTGTCTCACTAATTCTTATATTTATTTTAGTTAGTTGCCATGCTGTGAGTTCCGATACAGATTCAATTGTCGATGGCGATGCAATGGACGGAAGTAGTTTGACGTAAGTGACAACTTTTAAAAATAAATTTTTATTTCCATTAAACAGGTTTCTCTTATCTATGACATAATCAAATGTACACTGTCCGGGGACTCGTGTAACATTATAGGTAATTTTTAAAAAAAAAAAAACTGAAACTATTTTTTCAAAAAATATATAAAGCGTAAGAATAAATTTTAATCAACTGTAACAAAAAGTGCTTTAAAGTAAATCTTTCACAAATTTTCGATATTTTTTACAGTGGTTCATGAAATTATAATTATTATAAATTCACGGCTGTCACAATTTAAAAATTTCGTGGTAAAAAAAGGGGGACGAAAAAGTATGTTTCACCAATTTGTTTGTTTAAAAATAAAAAAGTTCATCCTAAGAGAAAATAAGATGGTTCATTTTGAAGCAAAAACTGTCAACTTTATGACGTCAAAGATGTTTTAAGACGCTTCCTTTGAACGGGATATGCTTCAAAGTGCAAAAATTAAAAAAAAACTGAATAAATGTCATATTTTTGGTACCTACTAGAGATGCGACGGGCTCGGTCTCGCTTGCTAAAAAAAATGTTTCAGGTTCTGGTGAGTTCGGATTCATTATAAAATTCTTTTAAACTTTTTCACAACTTCTAAACAAACGTTTGATTTCGTTATAAAGTATAAGAAATGTAAAATTTAAAAGTTATAAAAGTTTCTGCTACCTGGCATTTTTTGTTCGGTACTTTTGCTTTGTGAGGCTTGCACTAATTTTCAAATGACTTTTATTTAGATAAATATTTTGATTTTCTTTTGTAATTTTTTTTCGGGCTAACACGTGAGCCCTAAATAATTCTGTGTATCTCGCGTTAGAGTGGGTCCCGACCTCCAAAAGCGAGCCCAAGCCTATCTCCAGTGATCACGGTGCACTGTTGGAATTTCCGCCCTAAAATTATGGTAAAATAACGAACAGCAATCTGCATTTCCAATAAACCGTAAAGTTTGCGGTAAAGAGCATTTATAACCTTTACGGTTTTAAAACCGCTTGCAACTAGTATGGTTATAAACACATGAATATGTTTTTAACCATTTACAGCTACCATGGTTTCAAAACCGTTTAATTCAACTAGACTTAAGAGCTAAGCTTTTTATTACGTAATGGGAGTTGAATAGAGAGCAGGAGACAGGAAATACTTCATGTGTTGAAAGTAACGGGGAAAATATTGTGGTGTCAAAACTGGGACTCGAACCCCAGTTCTATCAGTCATGAGTCTGACAGATTAACGCACTCAGCTACAATATGCAGCTGCAACGAACTAAGTAGCTTCATTAGGTGGGCTTAGTTGGTACGATTAAATTCTGGTTGTTCAACCGTATTAGGTGAAAACAGTTAATAAACGGTCTTACAACAGTTTGATTGCTGTTTTAGTTACGGTTATTTGACTGTTTGTTTATTATGGTAACATAACAATTAAATAAATTGTTATTTAGTCATTTTTTCTGAAAAATTTCTAACAGTTCATATCTGCAATCTGGTAGACAGACAAAAACACGCATACATAAATGCTTTATTTTATTGTTTGTTTAGATCTTTATTTTACTATACTAAAATAAACTAGAGACATTTTTTTGAAATACTTTTTATTTTCACAGAGGATTACAAATGGGTGGCCCAGTCAATATTAATCCACATAGTCTGCACAAGAAAACGTTGAAGGTAAATATATTTACCTCTTTTTACCATATACAAAGGTTGGACGAAAATATGGAAACACTTCTGTACTATATAAATTATTTTTATTTCAGCCGCAAATATTTTGAAATGTTTTATGTGGTAATACTGTTGATATAATAATTTCAAAGATCATGCTTGAACCTAGATTGCTGAATTAGTAAAGCATTTAGTAATCGATTACTTAAAATGTCTTTTTATTTCAGATGGCAGAAGATATTATGGGATTTCTCGCAAAATTAAGAAATAGAAAGAATTTGAAAAATTACGAGCAAAGGCGTCCAGAACTAGGAGAGGAATTAAGAGAAGAAGTAGAACCAAAATCGATAATTACAGATTTAGTTAACGTCATGCGAACACGGCTCAATAAAGTTAGCGATGAAAACTCGCCAATTCAAGTGAGTGAATAAAATTCTCACCCAAAACAAATTGTGCCCTATTTTTGAATAAATTTTTCAAGATAAATATGATGCAGGAAAAATAAGGATTGAACCGAAAGGATAAAATTAATACCAAACTGTTAACTGTTTGGTATTTAGAAACTGTTTAATACCAAACCTATAATATTAATATACTATATCCTAATTTGATGATATCGATGTATATTCTAACGGTTTCATAGAAGATCTGAATCATCCGAAACGACATTCGAAATATGTAATGCATAAAATTTTAAAGCATTATACCAAAATTCAATTTTTAGGCTCGAAATTGTGCAATAATTTTGAGACTCCCAATAACAATAATTATATAGGTAGATAGATATCGGACTGGTATTCTTTTTTCTAACTTTTTTCTGATTTTGTCTATTTGAGAGAGTGAAAAATAAGGGAGTGAAAGTTTTATTTATTTATTATTATAATCAAATTCAAATTACATCATGTTATTACTAATTTATAACTAATAGTTTAAAGATTTGATAACATGAAAACTGAAATAAAATACAACATTTTTGTGTTAAAAAGTCTACGGCTTATTTTTAATAAATATTATTTTTAATAAATATTATTTTAGAAAATTATATATCTATTATAAGCACACAATTTGCATTAATAAAACTTTCGTTATGAGTAGATACGCATGTTTTAAGTTAAGTTGTATATAAGTTGTATATTATATAGTTTTGAAAGGCAGTAGCCATACTAAAATAGGTAAAATCTTCCAAATTGATTTATTTGGCACCTATCAAAACTACTTCAGTTCAGTACAGATCAAAATTGCTCAGTTGTGGTAAATTTTGACTATTATGTGTACTGCCATGCAATTGAAATATGAAATATATATATATATATAATAGGTTTAAATGCTTTATAGTAGCTATTTTATGTATTATGTTGAAAAAGGTTANTCAAAGGAATAAATAAATATATATAATAAATTAATAAATAAATAGTGATTGTAATTATTTTAGCTTTATTAATTGTATTGGTATATGTACTGATTTATTGATAATTTACTTTTTTTTCACTGCTTACAGAGAATAAAAATTCAGCTAATTGGTATTAAAACAAGTGAAGTCCAGATTATTGAATCAAACTAATTAACTGCCTTATTCTTCCAGCTTGCAGATTATGTAATGGGTTTTCTCGGAGTTTTGAGAAATAATATTTCGGGGAATAGTCAAGAGCAAAAACGTCAAGAGTCACGAAGGGAACCGAGAAATGAAAGAGATGGAAATTCGCAAATGCAAGTGAGTAAACTCTCTACTTTCAGCAATTTTACAACATCTTTTCTGAAAACAAATATTAACCAGAGAAACTAAGAATTAAACCTCAAATAATAAGATGAACGGCACATTTACGTCACATTAATTTGTAGCGTAACTATAACTGTTCAATTCCTATTCAATACAACTATAACTAACGTAACTACAACTATTCAATTCCTATTGTCGGTAGCCGACAATTTTTAATAAAGATGAGAACAAAAAAAAAAAATATGATGTATTGACAGACGAAAAAAAGCAAAAAACCAAACCAAACTGCTAAATCGGTTGCAGAGCCATTACTTCAAATTGAAATTCTGATAGATGAATTAAACAATACGATTTATTTTTGAAAACTGGTTATCGTAACAGGTTATTGGCGCATCCCAGTTTACCCTAATGATTCAGGAAGAATTGCATTTGTGACAAATAGATAATTAATTTAAGAGACCAAGATTACCGATTTAAGGGACGGGAAAATGCCCCTTGTTTTTTTTTTAAATAAAGCTCTCATTAGAAAGCTAAAACAATATAAAACTAAATTTGCAGCTAAGTGTTGTAATTTTTTTTCTTCTAACGAACATTTTCAATCGATATTTTTTTTTTGAAACCAACAAATTAAAAACATTATAAATAACAAAGAGTCGCACAAATGTTGAAAAACTATGTAGAGGACATCAGGTTACAGCACATCATCAGGATAAAAATTATACAGAAACTGGTGCCCGGATATGTCATCATGCGCCTCTAGGGATACTTTCCTATTAGTAACTGTTTCTTCGTGTGCTTCTAAACAGGTCATAATAGAGCAGTGATTCCCAAACATATGTCTTTCATGTACCCTTTCTAAATTTTTCGTAACGCTCTGTGCACTAATACAAAATGAGTGTATTTTTTACTGTAAAAAATTGCCCAAAAGTAAAAAATCGCAATTGGCTGTTGATACCCCTAACTATTAACTGTTAACTCTGAAAAAAATAGCCAATAGAAAAATACGTAATCGTAAACTTTCATGGCTAACTTTGTTTTTAAATGAAATTTTGTGAAATTTTCGTTTGTTGCAAGATATTTCGCATAAATACACGTACCCCCGCTAAACTGTTCCCGTACCCCTGGGGGTACGCGTACCACACTTTGGGAAACACTGTAATAGAGAAACTCCCCTAGTCGAGTATCATGTCATTTCCAGGCTTGGGTTCCGATTCAATTTTAATTGTGATAATGGATCTTGAAATTTGTCGAAACATTTACGCAACCACCCTTTATGTATATTGTTTTTTAAGTTGTGTATTTCGACAAAAATAGACTAAAAAAATCAGTTGCTTTAGGTATTTAACTTAAATGTTGCAACATACTTCTATGGAAGTTACGGCGCATCATCAAGGTTTGAATTGTATGGCATTCCATGCCTAGAAATGTCGTCATACGCGTCTAGGGGAGCTGTTCAGAAACAGTTTATTATAGGAAAGCGCCTTTAGCAGCGTATGCCGATATTTCCAGTCATGTGTTTAAATGTATTTTAAATCCTGATGATGTGCTTTAACTCCCCTAGAAGTTTGTCGCAACATTTATGCTATCTCCTTTAAGAAGTAAAATTTTTTTAAAACTTGTACATTTCGACAAAAAATGGACTTAAGAGTGTAGTTTTAAAAAAATGCTCCTACTTGTAGAAAGAAACCAATTGAAGATTTAAAATCAGCGATTCGAAGGAATCTGAGATTTGCTTAAATGAATCTCATGCAATAGAAAGGAAGAAAAAAAAACATTTCCCCCAGCTTTATCTCTTGCTTAGCTTTCTTATTCTTTTTTTCAGCTTATAGATGATATGATGCGAATGCTCCTAGATTTCAAAAATACATTGATTGCAAATGATCAACGACAAGTAGATGGAAAAGAAGAAGCACCACCAGCAAATTTAATTGGTCAGGATATGCGTGCTCTGAAAATATTAGTGAACAACTTTAACGCAAGACTTAATAGAATTGGAGAAACCAACAGAAACCGTAGTAACAATGGAAGATATTATTTATCATTGCCATAGCTACGAATTCCAGAACATGACTTAACTAATCTGTTTAATTAAGAACATTTTTGTTAATACTATTCTGTTAAATTTATTTGGAACAATAAAGTATTTTCCAAATCTAAGTTTGTATGATTCTACCGAACGATAAAAACTACTTTTATTTTTTTAAATTTCATAAATGAACACTTAAAAAACTCTAACGTAACCAACTGGGTTCTGTACATTTTTTTTTTTCATTTTTAGAAAATAGCCTTAATTAATATTTTAATTTTATTTTTGGTAAACAGGGATCCCAACAAGATAGATTTAAAATAAACCAGATAAGGGCCAATTTGGGCCTAGAAACTACAAATTTATGTAACGCTAACAGCTCTACAATAAATTGCAATGCATAAATATCAAATTACCTTCTTTCCGGTCCCGCAGTGGACTGATCGTTAAGACACGGTTCCCAGCAGATCACCGAAGTCAAGCATCACTGGCTGCGATCAGTGTGCGGGTGGGTGACCACTTGGATCAGTCTGCGTAGGGACCGAGAATGTGCGGTATTGGTCCTCGTTAAACTGTGCTACCGTAAAGTGCTCGACTTCGCGCGCAGGTCGTCGAGCTACCGAAGCGGGGGTGTCATCCCCTCCGCAGAGGATCAAAATTGTGATGGCATGTCTTCGGATCATCCTCCGGGATGTTTCCCAGACCGTCGCCAATAGCCCATTGCACAGCTCTAGTGCGCCGTAAATGAACAAAAAAACAACAACAAAATCCATACATGAAGTTTCAAAGGAATAAATAAATAAATAAAAATTCTAGTCCCGCAGTGGACTGATCGTTAAGAAACGGTTCCCAGTAGATCACCGTAGTGAAGCACTGCTGAATGCGCTCAGTGTGCTGGTGGGTGACCACTTGGATCAGTCTGCGTAGGGACCGAGGGTGTGCGGTATTGGTCCTCGTTAAACTGTTCTACCGTAAAATGCTCGACTTCGCGTGAGGGTCATCGGACTACCGAAGTGGAGGTGCCATCCCCTCTGCAGAGGATCAAAATTGTGATGGCATCTCTTCGGATCATCCTCAGGGATGTTTCCTAGACCATCGCCAATACAACATTGTGAAGCTCTAGTGCAGTGTTTCCCAAACTTATGATTTCTGTGTACCCTTTCTAAATTTTTCGTAACGCTGTGTACCACTAAAGAAAAAATGAGTGTATTTTTTACTATAAAAAATTGCACAAAAGTTGAAAATCACAACTGGCTGTTGACACCACTAATTATTAACTGTTAACTGTATAAAAAAATAGCCAATAGAAAAATACGTAATCGTAAATTTTCATGGTAAGCTTTATTTTTAAATAAAATTTTTTGAAATTTTCGTTTGTTGCAAGATATTTCGCATAAGAACGCGTACCCCCGCTAAACTGTTCCCGTACCCCTGGGGGTACGCGTACCACACTTTGGGAAACACTGCTCTAGTGTGACGTAAATGAACGGCAACGACTAAAAAGTCTATATTTAACATTTTTATATTGGTGTTAGCGTAAAGAGATTTTTTAAAAACTCATGTTTTTCTGAAAATACATTTAAAGTAGGTAATTGCTAATATCAGCAAGCGAAAAAACTACTACAACTTCGATTCTAAAGATCGGAAAACAAAAATTTAAAATGATTTATAAAGCTAATGGACAAAAGTTCAAATATAGACAACAGAAAGAAAAAAAGAAAAATTGTCATCAAAATGTTTGATTTTTTCATCTAGTCGGATACCTTAACGTAAACCTGAATTTATATTTTGAGATTATTTGCATAATCTTGAAAAACATAAATGCAACGGCGTTTTATCAGGAAAAAGAAGAAGCAAACACTCAGAAATATCGATACGATGATGAAGCTTAAAATCAGTACCTTAAACCAAAATAATCTTATTGGAGTAACATTTACAACCTTATTAAGGTGTTAATCAAACAAATTTATAAATTTGTTAACTAAACTAACCAAAGATTAAACTAAACCAAAGAGTCATATTATTGTGTAATCGAGTTAAACAAAAACTTAATTTGCACGTTTTAAGCTACCGTCATACTTTGTGCAGCGGGGGCTACTTTGTGCAAATTCGAATTTGGCATTTTTCAAGTGCTGCTATTCAGTATTATGTTTATTTCACGTTAAAAATGTGATGAATTTGAAGATAGAAGTCTCTTCTATTACTACAAACATTTTTTCGAATTTTAAAACAATATCAGAGTGTGTTTCGTTCATCCAATGTCAACAATTCTCCAATCCATGTTCATCCAATGTCAACAACAAAAAGTGTGCGTGGAAACTTTAGCTGTGAAATGCAAAGACGTTGATAAAACAATTGTCGTAAATGCAAAAATTTTTTATTTATACATTAATAAACAATTATATCACGTTAGCGTTAAAAAAAATTTAAAATTAATAACAAATAAACGGAAAATGAAAAAAAATGCACTGTGGGGCTACTTTGTGCAAAGTTTCAATTGTTTTTTTTTTTTTTTTCGACAGAAAAATTGTCAGACGTTATAAAAAAAATACCTCGAACAGGAAATTACCTTGATTACACTTTAGAAAAGTTGCAACAATGTTTGCAAGCAGTTGCTGGTGGAATGTCGATTGCAGAAGCTTCTCGGAAGTACAAAATCTACAGAAATCCTATCTCTAATAAAATTCACAAGAAATACGTGAAACGTGCTGGTAAACTATTCTTTTTCTTCTAATGAATTAATCAAACGATTTAACACATAAAAATATATTTTATAGGACATCGGGTGATTTTGACAGAAACTGAAGAGCAAGTTCTGTCGTGTTCATTCAAGCATGTTATGTTCAAATTTATCAATATTATAAATGTTAATGAATATGTAATAATTATTATTTTTGAAACATCATTCATTTCAATGTTAAAAAAAGTATATGGTTTCCTTTTGTTTAAACTCAAATGTTTTGAAATAAACATTCTTTTTAAGAAAAAATTCTTCAAAAAAAATGGTATTTTAATGCTGAAAATTATTTTCAAACTAATATCTTTACATATCTTGATGTTTTTGTCTTTAAAAATGTCAACAATTAACCTTTTTAACAATTTTATATCAATATTTTATTAAAAACATGATTATTAAACTGAATTCCTATCGCTGCACAAAGTAGCCCCAATTGGGGGCTACTTTGTGCAAAGTATGTTTTGACTTATTATTCGTAAATATTACATACAAATAATGCCAATATTGATCAAATTCACTCGTCTGAGTACAGTTATGAATATAATATCGATAAATTTTACTAAAGTTTGAATTAACATAGTTTTTTTTACATGTCAAAGTTCAAAAACTGAGAAATCCTACACAAAGTAGCCCCGAATGACGGTAGTTCAACTTAGTATCATAATAAGAATTCAGCCAAATAGAATTATGTACCTTCTAGAATATCAAGCTTACTCAAACATCGCCTCGTAGACTTAATACATAGTCTAGTCACGATAATGTGACCTTCTGTTAAAACTCAGAACAAAGACCTTTCGCAGAGCAGACTGTAGCGAGACGAGTCGGAAAAGATTCAGTTCTTGAATGTGTTATCTGGGATGTTGTGTCATGCCAATTCTAGTGTCGTCCCTTGCTACGCTAAGTTTCGCAGTTGAGAATCCATAGCTAAACAATTCGATCGAGGTGGTCCAATAGATTCTCGATTGGTTTTAAGCCCAAGAAGTTTGGAAGACAGGGAATAAGAGTAATCTCATTCGGATGTTCTTCGCATTACGCAGATACACTGCGAGCAGTATGATACGTTGTCCTTCTGATAGATGCAATCACTTTGAGGCAAAAAAATTTGCATATAGGAAAGGACGGGTTCCGCAAAGTCTGATGCGTACTTTTGTTGATATATCGCCCCTTCCCCAATAATGAGTACACCCAGATAATACCACGAAAACATTCCCCTGACAATAATGTTCTCTCCTCCAGCTTAGACCCTTCCGGCGATTGTTGTAGGGCGTTTACTTTTATACGTTCCATGCCTATACGCTAATGTCCATCCGTATGATGAAACAGAAAACGTGATGCATCGGAAATAACTACTTGAAGCCACTCAGTGAACGTTCCGTCGCAGTATTGGCGTTCAAATTCCAGTCTACGTCACCGATGAACAACAGTCAGCATAGGTGTGTAGGGTAGACGCAAGCATGATTTATTTTATTTTATTTTAATTTTTAAAGTTTTCGACTTAGTACATTGAAATATTAAATCATTAAATCAAATTGGAAAAGGCAGCTGAAGGCAGCTGAAACCAAATTTGTTTTATATAAAATAGAAATAAGACATATATAAAATCTTTACAATTAAAATATAAATGAAAATATAAATATGAAGATATAAATGTGTGTTTGCAAAACAGTACTTCATCAGGAGACATTTATGGTTAAGAACATTTTATTATTAAACCTACCGTTAGAGTTACACCATAAGGTAAGGGTCACGAAATCAGATAGTTTAGCGCAATTGTTGTACGTATTTTAAAGGAACCGCAACGCAAAGGATTCCTAAAGTAAAATTTATGAGAAAATTCATCAAAAAAATATTGAAGATTCAATTTAAATTTTTATTAATCTTGATATTTTTTTTTGTTCATTTACGTCGCACTAGAGCTGCACAATGGGCTATTGGCGACGGTCTAGGAAACATTCCTGAGGATGATCCGAAGACATGCCATCACAATTTTGATCCTCCGCAGAGGGGATGGCACCCCCGCTTCGGTAGCCCGACGACCTGCACGCGAAGTCGAGCACTTTACGGTAGAACAGTTTAACGAGGACCAATACCGCACACCCTCGGTCCCTACGCAGACTGATCCAAGTGGTCATCCACTCAGTGGACTGATCCACTGACCACAGCCAGTGATGCTTGACTTCGGTGATCTGTTGGGAACCGTGTCTTAACAATCAGTCCACTGCGGGACATTAATCTTAATAATATTTTCTATAAAATTGCACAAATGAAAAGTTGCTGAAAAAGAGCAAATACTCGTACTTGTTCTATTCACTTCTAGTGTAAAAGTCCCGCAGTGGACTGATCGTAACGACACGGTTCCCAGTAGAGCACAGAAGTCAAGCATCACTGGCTGCGTCAGTAAGTGGGTGGGTTAAAACTTTGATCAGTTTGAGTAGGGACCGAGGGTGCGCGGTATCGTTCCTCGTTAAACTGTTCTACCGTGAAGCGCTCAACTTCACTCGCAGGTTGTCGAACTACCAAAGCAGGAGAGCCATCCCCTCTGCAGAGGATCAAAATTGCAATGGCATATCTTCGGATCATCCTCAAGGATGCTTCCCAGACCGTCGCCAATAGCCCATTGTGCAGGTCTAGTGCGACGTAAATGAACTACAACTACAACATAAGCACCTTTTGTTTTTTTAAAATCTCATTATTTAAAGAAAAGAAAAAACAGAGCAAAATAGCAAAAATTTGTTACACAATGTAAGTCATTAAGCAGGGTAATTCATCCAACATATTCTCATTTTTTGTGTTTAAATTAGCTTCTATTCTCTACAGCATATTTATCCACAAAAGGGCCATTCTCACTATATGCAATTCCTACACAGCTGATCATTTAAGAATGAGAGTAATGGTAGGTAGGAACTTTATTTACGTCGCACTAGAGCTGCACAATGGGCTATTGGCGACATCCCTGAGGATGATCTGAAGACATGCCATCGCAATTTTGATCCTCTGCTGAGGCGATGGCTCCCCTGCTTTGGTGGCCCGACGACCTGCGTGCGAAGTCGAGCACTTTACGGTAGAAAAGTTTAACAAGGACCGATACTGCTACGCAGACTGATCAACGTGGTCACCGACCCGCTTACTGACCACAGTCAGCGATGCTCGACTTCTGTGTTCTACTGGCAACAGTGTCTTTGCGATCATTCAGTCCACTGCGGGACGAGCGTAATTGGAAGTGTTTAGCTGACGACCAATCCATTCGGCTATTGTGGTTCCTTATTTGATTTTACTATAGTAACATAACTTAGGGGCCTCCCTGACAGATCGGTATCTCCCGCCAAACGCTCTGTTAAGCGTGGAGGTGGCGGGTTCGAATCCCGCCGTAACCCTGGATGTATTCTTTGTGATGTCCTTCTCTGACAAAGGCTTATAAGTCTTAATTGAGCACATAACCCAATAAACCAAACCAGTAAACAGAACTTTAAACGTACAGAAATAAGCCTATTATTTACCGAACTGCGCGATTGCAATATCGAAAGCCGCGAGTCACAAAAATGACTTAAATTCGTTGTTTATTATTTTCTTTTTTCATTATTTTCGCTTTCAAATTTGTTAATTTTCTTTGTCTAAAAAGTTCGTAATGGAAATTATTGACGAAACATGCGCAGTTACGGAGCAATCTCCTGTAATTATCAAAAAGGAGAAAGATGGTAAGATAAACTTGTATGTTTTATTCGAGTCTAATATTTATTTCAGGAGGTTTTACATTAAAATATGTAATTGATTACATTACTTTCCCTTTTTATATAACATGAAATGGGATTTTATGGTACTAGGAATACAATACATAATGATTCTGATTCTAAACTGGGGATAGAGGGAAAATAATAATTCTTTTTGCGAAACTGGGGATTGAGGGAAAATAATAATTATTTTTTCAAAAAAATAATTTTTTTTGTCTTGAATTTTAGCCTTAGTTCTTATATGTTTAGAAACTAAAATGTGTTATTCTTAAATATGAATTATTTTGGCGGTAAATTTTAAAACTAAAAAAAGGCAAGCGAGCAGTTTTTTAACTTTCTAACAATAAAAAAAAATTAAAAGAAATTGTGTAGTGTGTCTACCACTACAAATGTACAATTCCAAGTCAATAGCATAAAAGACGTGTTAACTCGATTCTATCTTGAAGTACCTTTAAATAGATGAAGGTTAGCATAACATCTTCTCCACATTGGTGACCTGGATCACCATTGTGGGGAAGATGTTATCAGCTGTGCTCCAAATAACAATATGACCCAAATAACATAGAGTCATGGAATCTTGCCCTCGGGAAAACAAATGCAGGAGGAACAGTATTTCCTAAAGCATTGGTAATCATGCTTTACAGAAACTATCTGCCCCACCCAGTGTTTTCACTACAGCGCGAGAACGCGAGAATCTCACATAGTTTTTTATATTCTCGCATTAAAAAATGATTACCGCGAGAAATTCGCGCATTCTATAAACCAATTTCAAAATTCACGAATTTCTCGCATCTATTTTTAACAACAATGCAGCTTTAACAACAATGCTTAAGCTTTTAAAAAAAATTTATTATTATTGAAAAAAATTTTACAAACATGCTTCCTTGAACACATTCACATGTTTTTCAAAACTTTTAGAATAATGCTTTACTGAAAAGGTTGAGTATAACAACCATAATTAATGGGCTTTTTGCAGACTAATGACTTCTGCAAGATTTCTTTTTAAGAAATAATAAGCCCGGGGCACTTTTCAACACTGTTGAAAGGTGCCTCCTAAGCTCTGTTCAAATCTGCCCCTGGTACAGACATTTTCGTTAAAGTATAATCAACCACCTTAGAAAAAGATTTATTACTAATAAATAATACAGTTAGAAGCAGAATTAAATAAACTAGTAGATGAATAAATGTCACTTACCTTATTAAAAGATTAATGGTAGATAAACAGTTTTAAAATCAAAACTGTGTTTTTACTTTTGAAATGTTATAACTTGCTCCATAGAGTAACACGACAGCGATAAAAAGAAAGTGCTTAAAACTAAATGTTAACATTTATGCATAATTAAAGCTTATTCGCTGGCATATTGGCCAATCATTAAGCAATATTAGAAGGCAGAAATTCTAGTTGTTGAAATGTACCCCCCTCTCCACCCACACCAATCAAACATCTGCATATTATTTTTTCGAACTTTTCGTGATTAAAATCAATTTGGTCCTTGGCGATTGTAGTTGGTGTTACAGATCATGAAATGGAAATATGCCCATTTCTACATCCGGAATTTTAATCGTAAATGATTTTCCTGATTTATGAAAATTTATTTGTAAAACAGAAACAGATATGAATTTTCTTATGCTTATTATGTTGTTTTTCAAATGAATTTTTGGTTAACAGATATGGGATCGCTCATTATCACAGGTACAGTTTGTTCCTCCCAACATACAAAATTTGCAACTCTACCATATAATAAAGCATATAATTCTCTATTAAAGGAAATTCATCTTCAAGAAATTTAGATGTTAAAGCAAATGAAGACGTTTCAGATTCTGATCAATCAATTACTTGGGAGGTTGTTGAGAAAAAGATTGAATGCATAGACTTGGTATGTTATATTTTATTTATTATCTTTCAATTGAAGTGCTATTTTTGTGTTTCTTCATAATAAAAAATATAGAGTGCCTCAAAAGTGTTACAAAGAGGCAGAGCACATCATAAAGATTGAGAATTGCTTTAGTAATACCCGTATCATTGCATTTTGTTAGTGATTTGCATCTCGTAAATACAGCGGTGATTAGCATTTGCAACTGTCACATGGGTAGGCAATCAAGTCATTTGCATTTGGTCCCATCTTCTTAGATTGTTCTGCTGAAATTTTGTTTTTTCAAATTTCATAACCTTGTTTTCTATTCTATAATACTTATTAAAAGAGAAAATAGACAGTCTCAACTTTTCTGTTAGTGTAACTAGCAGGGGCAGATCCAGAAATTTTTCCTTGGGGTGTTAGACTCAGACCCCCCCCACAATTAATTTTCTTATAAAAAAATTTATTTATTTATTTATTTTAAGAAAAAAAAGAACTGGGGTTTTTAATGCTAGTCTTTTCATTTATTTTTTTTTTCATAATGAACAATAGAACAATGCATAAATAATTCAAGTATTCAAAATCTTTAAATAATAAATGTAATACGTTTTTTAGAAACTTTGGCAAATCTGTCAATGATTTTTTCAACATCCAAATCAATCAGTGAAGAACATAATTAGATGGAGAAAAAAAGTCGATTTTTCCAACCTACCTAGGTGTATATGCCCCCTTAAATAATTTTAAATATTTTTTTTCTTTTGTAAACCATTAAAAAAATTATTATCCCCCTAATCTTAANTTCCCCCCCCCCCCCCGCTGGATCTGCCACTGGTAACTAGAAGGAAAAAACAAAAACTCATTTTATTCTGTAATTTTGATTAAAAAATCTAATTTATAGAATTAGAAAATAAGATTTTTTTTAAACTTTTTTGCTGAACTCACTTCTAAACGCCACAATTTAAAAGTTAAAAACCTGTAGTTTTTTTTTCTTTTTACAGAAAGGAAATTTAAAAAGAAAAAAAAAAATTCGAAAAAAATTTGTTTTTCATTTATTTTAACAATTTACACTTTGGTGAAAATGTCTCAAACATCAGGTTTGATGTTATACATCAAATTGATGAAAATGTTGATGAATATATTGATGAAAATGTTGATTCTTGCGGTTTGTGTTTATCTGCCTAGTGATACAAATGAAGATTGCAAACTTTACCACAAATATTTACTGAAGAACTCAAAATCTTCAAAATAATGAAGAAGTTCCAATATTCATGTGAACTTACAAAGAATGATTAGCAATTTGTTGTAAATGTCGATAATTTGTTATTTGTGCTAAGAAAAATATACGTTCAAACCAAATTTTCCTAACATTTTAATAAATTTTTTTTTTTTTGTAAATTTGTTCCTTTTTAAATTCATTATTTTATTTTATTTAATTTTAGCAAAAAGCAATTTAGCCTCCTGCTGATATGTTGTGAATAGTTACAACTATTCAAAATATTTTTAATGACTATTTTGATTGAACTTTGACATCCTCTCTATAATTGCTATGACTTTTGTTCAGTAGTTAGTTATGTTCATGTGCTAATACATAAGTATTTTTAACAATTGTAATATTGCATTTTAAAAGTATTGTTTTTGTATATTCTTTTTTTATGCTGATTTATAAATTGAAATCGGAAATTTGATTATTTTTTAACTGTGATTTAATTATAAATAAATAATTTTTTCAATTATTATATTTTTTATTTTAGATATCTGATGAAGAAAAAGGAGAAGGTGAGATTGGTAGAACTGTATTTTATTTTCATTAATATCATTATTTTGATGAATTATCTTTTTTATATTCAATCAGTTATATTTGGCTTGATAGACATATCACTTATCTGATAATTGTATATTAAGAAGTTTGCTTGAAATTGAAATGAATGAGGATTGCTCTTCTATTACTATTCATTTTATTATATTTTTCTGTTGAGAAACACTAATTTACAAAATTTATTTTCTCATTATATTGTTCATCATTATTCTATTATCAAGATAAATGTTTCTCAATCTTTTCACTCTTAGAGAACCTTTATAACTCTCTAAGCTATATATCTCTCAAAAGTCTCTTTATAAACTTTCTAAGCAATATCAATTCTTATGGGAACTGAATCTCCAAGTTTTAATGAAATCCTGTTGCAATATTTTTATTAGTGATCTTTAATGGGAACAAAAAAAAAATTCTTTTAGATGTTTGTTTCAAAGTAAAGAAAAAGAGCTATTTAAATTAAATTATTTGATTTTTCATAGATTGTTTTTTTTATTTATTTTGCTTCCAATTATTTTGATTAGAAATCCACAAAGTAACAGGAAAAAACCAGGAACAGTTAGGAAATTTGTTCCCTTTTCAATAGAATTTTATAAAAACGCCCTCTAGTTCTTTTATTGGAACACAAAAATACTTTCCCTTTTACCTGCTGTTGTTCCACTCCAGTGACCTTGATAGGGACATAAAAAATTTGCATTTGTCAATTTTCTACTCGTGTACACAATCAGGGGACTGTCCAGACATTTTGTGAAAGGTCAGTTTTTGTAAAATTGTGAAAAAATTACTAGTAATTTGTGAATACAAAATAAACGTTAAGTCACATTCTTTCAACCAGTGTCCTGCTTTTGTGCAAATAGGGTCCTGTTTTTACAAAAAACTTTTTCAATTAGTTTTTAAATTGTAATGACGTACAAAATTATGCTCAACACTGTAAAATTATAGTTAGAAAAAATTACAATTTAAAAAATAAACATCAATTGCTGCTACTAAATTAGAGATGCGACAGGCAAATATTTGGTATTTAGCCTATACTGCTGAACGCATAATATTAATTTCGGATGAATAAAGGAAGAAGTGTCTGCCGATAACAAAACTTAGTTTGTTTACATCCATCTTTCTTCCCCCCCCCCTCTCTAGCAAGAGTTTATTCTATTAACAAAACAATAATGAAGATAAACAAACTTGTGAAGGGTCCGATTAAAGGATAAATTATTTCGTGAAGGGTCCGATTTTATGCAAAGATATTTTGTGAAGGGTCCGATTTTATGCAAAGATATTTTGTGAAGGGTCCATTTTTATGAAAAGATATTTTGTGAAGGGTCCGTTTTTATGAAAAGATATTTTTCTGAAGGGTCCATTCAATTTTTCTAAACAGACCCCTGACGATATTTTTTTCTTATTCAAAAACCGAAAATATAACAATTTCTGCACTAATGGATCTTTTTTTTTATCTGCGATTCATATTCACACAATTGAAAAATTATTGACTTAGTTACATATTCACGTGACCTAAGAGTATGCACTATCATACAAGATAGATTTAAAAACCTAGTATTTTTAATTGAATAACTTAAAAATCACACATTCACAATCACACATTAAAAATCACAGTTTTAAATTCCAGTATCCAATTTTTATCCACCAATTACATCATTTTTTTAAAACTACACTTCATATTTCCATGATTTGAAAATTATACATTGTGATTTGTATTAATGTTATATAAAATTTCGCATCACCATTTATCCTCACTTGATTTAGAAGCCAATCATTGTGATTCGAATTATTCAAAAAAACACCCATTGCAATTTAAGAATTTGTATTCACGCAATTTTCAAATCTAATATTGCTATTCTTCCAAAATTAAAACACCCCGATTTGTATTACCTCAAATAAAAAGTCATATATTGCGATTAACTTTTGCATAGTTTAAAAATTACAAAGTGCGGTTAATATTTACATAATTTAAATATCAAACTTATCATTTCGTATTCATGTGATTTATTTCAAGGTTAACAATTGCTAGTTCTATGGATAAAAAGCTATGAAGAGCCAGTTTTGTATTCATCTGTACTTTTTTTTTTCTGTTTAAAAAATATCATTCTTGGCCAATCTCATCCCTGAAAAGGCTAAATTAGTTCTATTTGTAGCATTGTCCAAATGAATAAAGCTATGGTTTTTAAATTGAATACCCCAGTTTTCATTATTGGTTTTTAATTTATTTTTTATGAGCTAAGTAAAAGTAAGTTAAACTTCTCGTTATTGCCCATCGGAATGTTTATTTGAAAAAGCTTATATTTATTATTTTGCTAGGATTAAATAAATGCTATGATATATTACAATCAGGGTTTAAGCTGAGTCTAAAAATTCATTAGCAAAAAAGCTAAAATCTGAAAAAAAGTTTTAGCAAAATGCTAAAATGCCATTAGGCTTATAAAATTACTTTATATCAAACAAGTACTGTAAGTTATGTGACAAAGAATAGCTTAATGTACAAGAATATCAAAAAGAATACCTATAACAAAAAAAAACACATTTATTATTTATCAAAACATTTTGATTTATAATTAACAATCTTCCTTTCTTTCATGTTTGCCCATTTTACAAATGCTTCTTGAAAGTTAAATGCACTTTCAGGGCCCTCAATATTAATCATTAATAATCTAGCCATTTTTGTTGATCGCTATGCTTCATCTCGTTTGATCACGTTTTTTTCGTGAACGTGGTTCTTCTTGCGAAAGATATTTAGATTTTTTCTCCTTCTTGTTTGATCAAGTTTTTTTCATGGATGTTAGCGTCATGGTTTTTCGCGGAAGCTTTTTTTTAAAATGGAATTTAGTAAAATCCTTTAGCAAAAATGCGAAAATGCTTTGTTGAATTTTAGCATTTTTGAGGGGTCTTTTCGCATTTTGCGAAAAAAGCTACCGTAGCGGAAACCCTGATTACAATACATATAAATTATTATAAATGTACAGGTGAGATGCTGTATTTACATGTTATTACATAGTGTTAGTTCAAAATGCTTATCTTGCTGTTCCTATATTTGCTTCTAACAAGTTGACATCTATGCAATCATAATCATGTGATTAAAAAATTTGAATAAAAAGAAATAATACACTGCATTAAATAAATTTATCTCTCATGATCAATCATCTTTTACTGTTTATTGTATCAGAGTTCTGTCTGGGGTAGAGATGCATAACCTTTTTGAGTACAGTAGGTTGTCCAATGAAGGGTCATATGTTTAAGTATTTTGTCATTTTGATGAGAATTATGGCAATTTTTATATAAACATTAAATGTTTTAAACATTAAAAATATTTTCCAGTTATCTTAGTCAATAATTTGCATAAAATTGAATGCTTTTAAATATTAAAATTCATTTGATAATAAAATTATAAAGTAACTGAATTTAGTAATTTTATAACAATACTCCTTTTAAGTAAGGTATCTGCCGTTATAGGCATTACATATTTCCTAATTTAAAATTTCTTTAATCTCATAAATTATTTTTTTTAATAATTCTTAATTCAATTATTTAACTTTTATTACATTTTAAACAAAGCAAATATGAATATTTTATTCTCTTCTGAACAATCACTAACTTTTAATTCAATGCAAAATCAAATTATTAGCTAACTTTTTAATTCAATACAAATTTATAACTTATTAATTTACTGCTGCAACAAAATTGAGCATCAAAATCTATTTTTAACTCTTTAAGCTATTTTATTTCTTTTACCACAAAAATGTTTCAGTTGCAGGGTTATATTAATTTGCGCGGTCTTTTTGGTAACTAAGCTGAAGCCAAAATATTATCCATAGTGCATAGCTTTTTTAAAAAGTACTTAAAGATGCTTTTTTTCAACTTTTGTTATTTAAAGGCCCTTATTAATGTAGTAGTTATTTAAAAGCCTTAATAGTTTATTTTCAATTTAAAAGCCCTTAAAGGTGCTTTTTCATTGGGTGTTTTTAAAAAATGCTTAATTTCCTTCATCAAAAATGAAATTTTTTTTCATTACCATGTCGATTTTCGCCACATATTATGCAAAAGCGTGCTTTTCTCATTCTTCTATTCAGCGTTTTCAAAATTCATTTCTGTGTACGGTAGATCCATAGCGTATGAAAGCGCCGATAATTTTACATGTTTGATGGAAATACTTGTGGGTCCATATGTGCGTCTACTGAGCTGGATTCAGTGAGATTATTGCCTTCTCATGTGCTTCTGTCTGCTGTATTTTGCAAGATATTCTCAATTTCAGACTTCATTTTCCACCCTCTGATATCGAACCGGAAAATCTCTCGATCATTTTATAACGGCTAATATAATCAAGAAAAGAGTTCTTTGTCAGAAACTAGTTATTTTCTCATGATCCTGTATAGTCTTTGAAAATTATTTTGTTAATGTATATAGTACTTAAAAATATTTTTTGAGTGCTTAAAAGGTGCTTATTTTTTGTTGAACGATTTGACTACGCACCCTGTTATTGTGAAGTTGGCTGAATTGGCTTTTCTTTCGGCAGTGTCCTTTTTCCATAATGTGCCTATAATGGATTTCTCCTGTGCTACAAAGCATTGATTGCATACCACTTTTAATATGGCTTTTGACTAAACAAGTCATGGGGGGGTTATCTCTCATGGCCTGTAATTATCCATATTATTATGCATAATTTATTATTTCACTCAGAAAGTCGTTTGGATAAAATATTCTTTTAATTTTGTATCTCGAGCTCTGCAACTGCTAATGAATCAGATATTTATTGTGATAATGATCCAATTTTTATCATAAGCTGTCATTTTTATGATCCTGTTTTCATCATCATCTGCAATTAGCCCTCTATACTAACCACACCATTATAAGGTGTAATAAAGTAATTAGTATACTGACCTGCAGAAATTTAAAAAGCTAGAAATTTATTTAAAATGGCAAATGCGCTATCGTTAATTTGCAACCCACACTAGCCAGAAAATAATTTTAAAAAGCTATAACTTTTATAAGAAAAAATGGCATAAGGATTTCGTTAGGAAAAATGACAATTTTGTTTGTTTTAATTAAAAAGTATTTGAATTCATTTGCTTCTGGCTAAATGATAGTATTGAAAAATATTTTGAAGATAGTTAAAAGTCAAAAAAATATTATTAATAGACTTTGAAAGCCAAATGTTAGTCAGCATCCAAAATAAATTGTACTTTATTAAACTAGATATGATTCTATATCTTCTTTTTATTATAACAGAATAGAACTTAAAAATCAATCCTTTTAGATGAAGGGAAATCTCTAAAAAAAGATATCTTGCATGAGAATGTACAAATTAAGGAATCTTCATTTCCACTACCGACTACAGCACCTGCCACAACTGTCTCCTCGAAATCTTCCTCATGCAGTTCTCTTAGTGAAAAACAGACATTAGACAATTTTATGACAAGTAAGTATGGATTTAATTAATCATTTGCTTCATACCATAATATTATAAATAAAAAATTTAAAAGTAATATAATACAGTCCCATGTCCGGACTTGTCGGAACATTGGCAAGTACGTTAAATGGATTTTTACGAAAAATTCTTAAAGGTAAATAACATCAAAACATGCACTATTCAATGTAAAAATAGCAAATGGACTATGATTAATGTCTAGTTTATGCATAAAGGTTTTCTTGTATTTTTAATGAAATTTAAATTAAGCTTGTTTAGTATGATGGAAAATATGTAAAACTAAGTGTGAAAGGAAGGTAATTTGAACTTCTTTTTTCGTAAATAAAGTCCCTTTTTTTGCCTTATATTGAGAAGAATTAGCAGCATGGGTTTTCAGAAAAAAATCAAATTATGAAAGTAAATTAATTCGATTTAATTATAAAAAGTAATCATCGGAAAATTGTAGATTTGTTAATGATAACTTCTGTAATTTAAAGATCGATGAACCTTGACTGCTGTTGTTCTTTCAAACTCTTTTAGTATCCAGCATTATTAATATCCATATTTTAGTCTTCTCCCCTATTTTTTTTTTAACTGCTCTTGTTCTTATAACAGCAATTTTATTGTACTTATTATTACAAAATTAATTATTAGTTATCAGAGAAGCAGCAAAAAGAAATAAATAAATAAAAAATTTACTATATGTATATTTTTTGCGCTTTTTGTAAACAAGTGTCAGGATAAAAACTTTGTACTACAGCTTTCTAAGCTCTTTAACTTATTTCTTAAATTTGTTCAAAAATTACTCTGTTCATAAGTCTTTTTCTGTAAAATAGCAGAAACAATAAAAATCCTGTATGTAGGAATGCATCCGTTACTTAACAGAACAGTTTGAGGTAAGCATTTAAAAAGATAACTTTTTAAAGTTTTATTACACATTGTTTGTAAACTTTCACATCATAATGAAATTAAAGAATAATGTATTATCTTTTTAGCTACCTAGCTAATTTAGCAAATGTATACAAAAATTTCCTTGCTAGTGTTTTTCTCCTTTAAATAACAACTACAAAATTTATTTCATTACTAACTTTCTTAAGTTACTTTCCTAACTTTATAAAATTTATTTATAACTTGGTATTTCCTTGAAAATCGGAGGTATTTCCTTGAAAATCGGAAATCTAGAGAATTTTTTGTGCTTGGGAAAAGCAAAAAAGAATCAATTTCAAATTCGAAGTAAGATGCAGAAATTTGCCTGTTGTATTATTATTGTGCTTAAAAAACATTTATTTTAAAAATTGTGCTAAATCAGCTAAAGATGATTGAATTAATGTGATTTACAATGAAATCATCTTTGATCAACCATGTCACGAAGTAATTAATCTAATGGCCCGGCTGTTGTACTGTTAAAAAAATCTATTGCAATTATTACTGAATACTAATTAATTGCCGAGTTCGAAATTATGATAAAATTGGTGTAAATAAAGGGTAGCTGTAAAAACAAATAATGCAAATATGCAATTAAAAATAAAATCATGTACCAAACATGTAAAATTATAAAACAAAAATGTAATCAGTTTGAATATCTGTGACTAATCAAATCTGTATCAATTTGAAAGTATCCCTGTATCAGTGTAAACAAGAAACTAATTACCCAGATTACTAAATACTCCCAAGTTCTGCTAGATCTGATTTCGAGCAATCATTTTGCCCATATAAATACTTTCAAGAAAGATCCAAGTAGCTACATTTGTATTGATGTATTTGTTCCTCTTTTATAGTCCAAAGTTAATATGAATCCAAATGAATACAAGATTCTTTTAAAAATATTAAAATTTAATGAAATGTTAAAATTTAAAAAAAATAATTTGAATGTTTTTATGTATAAAAAATTATATAACTATTTTCACTAATTATGGCAACATTTCTTTAAAACAGATATTAGGATTAGCTATGACGTTGAATTTTTGAAGGAGTTGCAAAATTCTCCACTTGCTCAAACTGATCCAAAGAATTTGCCAATTATTCCTAGCTTTACTAGTCGTAAGAAGCGAAAGAAAAGATCCAATATCAAACATATTGTGGAGAATACTGGTACATATATAGTTTATTTTTGTATCCTTACTTTTTTCCCTGAAAATTATTGAAAATTTATGTTTTTAATTTTACAGCAAAAGGGTACCTATTAAACATTCATATCTGCTTCTTTGTACAATTTATATATGTTCAGTTTATTGCTAAAAGTTTCTTTGGAAAATATTTGCTGGAGAAATATTTGGCTAGCTGGAGAAATGATTAAGGGATAATCAATGGAAAATACTGATGTTGCCAGTGCTATCAAATCTTATGGCTTCATGCGGCATGGACATATTATTTGTGTCAAAAACTCATACCCCTTCAAAAGGTTAGCCTTTGCAAGTGTACAAGGTACGAGAAAAAGAGGGGAACCCCGCACAAGGTGTGTTGATTGAAACAAGGCAGACCTTAATATGAAGGTCAATTGTTGGCTGTTCATATTGTGTGATCAGATCTACTGATGGAAGTGCATTGGGGCTACCATGGCTGGCAAATGGCTGTAGTGCACCTGAAAAAGAATATTGCTAATCAAAGTCTTAAAGCTGTTCCTCAAATTCAAGATATGCACAAAAAAAACCAGGCTTTTTTTGAAAAAGCCAAACCCACTTTCATTTTTTATCAAGCTTAGTACTCCTGGCAATTGACCTCAAAAAAGGACCTTACAAGAAAAAATTTGTGGAAGTTTTTTTTTTTTGTACATATTATGTGTTTTTTGTGGACACATATTATGTGTTTTTTGTGGACACATATTATGTGTTTTTTGTGGAGTGATGGACACAAATCTAGATTTTGCAACCGAAAAATAATTAGATACCAAAGGCAGCATTTATTTTTATGTAGCCTTATTTCTTAATTCTACAACTCCATGCAGAATTTAAACACCTGAAGTACTTCTGAATAAGGCTTTTTATTAGAAGAACCTAATTATAAATTTTTCAGATATACAATATTTTAGTTATGCATTCTAAGACTTGTCTCAGGTGGGCTCGTTAATACAATTCTTTTAAATTTCTATTATGCTTGAATTCTACAATCATCCTACTATAGTGAAAATTAAAGTTAAATAACAGAAATTATAAAAAAATAAATACAATACTGGGGGTAAAGAAGATATGTCTTCATCAGATTACACGATTATGTCCGCAAAAAATTTTAAAAGGCTTTCTTAATGTTCTCAATAGTTTTTGTTTAAAGATATGAAATAGATTCTCTTCATCTTTAGGTATGTTAACAGAATGAAAATGGGCTGTTTATTATTACTTTAAAATTTAATAAGGAAATTGTTTTCAATAATAAAGAAAAAAGTTTCCCGTTCATGTAAGTTCATTTGAATTCGCTACTTGCTTTATAGATTTCGTTTTGTGTCTTGTTCTGTTTTTATGTGATATTTATTACTTAATGTGATCTTTATTCACTTTTTATTTCTTTTTTTTTTTTAGTGCTTATCACACTATTATATTGATATATTTTGCTTTGGCTACATTGATACGATATCAGAAAGTTCTCCTTTTTGCAGATATAATTGCATGAGCTGATGTAGAGATTACATCTTTTTCTTCCTGGATTTTTATTCATGTATTTTTAAAAAATTTTTTACATTTTATTTTAACAATTTTTCTTTGTTCGGGGCTGGAGCGTTCAGTAGTAATACGCAAATAAGAATAAAAGTAATTCATTTCCTTTGCCCGGAAAACATTTTATTTCTCATTTTACATACCAAATAGCAGTTTAGAATATTTATAAGGTAATTGTAAATAGTTAGTTTATTTTAAACTAGATACAATTGGCAAAATAGGCACTTTTATGACCGTTTTATTGAAAAATAACCAATCGTTAAGGGGTTAATCTTTATTTTCCATGTTTTCTCTATATTTTTAACTTATTATATAAGCTCTATATACTTGCAGCCTATTCACAGTAAATAAAATTTATTAATTTTCTTTGTTTTTTTTCTATTACTCTTATAGTCTTTATTGTACTATATATATAAAAATCATAACTTTTATAGTTTAATTTGTTTTATAGGAAGTTCAGCTTATTCAGCAATTTTTGGTATAGCAATCTAAAATTTCATATTTTTCCAATCATTAAATACTATTTTTTTAAACTTATTATTAAATTCTTTTTTTTAACTGTTTATTATTCAATATGTTTCTATTTTTCAGAAAAGAAGCTGCCACCAAAAAGTAATGTGGTCTGTGAATTATGTGGAGCACTATTAGGTTCAAAGAAAGCTCGACGTTCACATAACAGAATGCACAATAAAGAAAAACAAAAGCTTAAACAGTTAAAAGAATGTACTGCCAATGAAAAATCCAGTTTACTAAACATATCAAGTAATTTGCATAATTCATCTGTGGATAGTAACTCCCATTCTCGCATCCAAACTAGTTTAAATGTAAATTTAAAAAGTGATGAAAAATCCAGTTTACTAAACATATCAAGTAATTTGCATAATTCATCTGTGGATAGTAACTCCCATTCTCGCATCCAAACTAGTTTAAATGTAAATTTAAAAAGTGACCCTTCTAAAAAAGAAACTCCAGCTACTAGACTTCGTTTTTGTGAAGTATGTCAAGCCAGTTTTAAAAATAGAAAACAATTAAATAGTCATCTCTACATTACTGGTCACTGTAAACAATCTTATAAATTGTTTGATAAAGAACGTGAAGTGGAAAAATTTCATAGTCGGGTGAGACAGTATCCTAGTGATCCACCATTAATTCAACCTTTTGTATCTGTTCCCCTTTACAATATGTTGGATAGTAATTTTGTAGGCGATCCTCGCGACTATAGGCTTCTTGGAGATCATTTCAGAAGTAGTCAATTGGATAATCGGGTAACTGATCGTTTTGGTTTATTACATAATCCACATCATATTGGTCCATTAGGTAGTTCACGTAATAAACACTATGCTGATTCATTTAATTATCATTCAAGAAATCTTGTTTCACATTCAAATAAACCACCGACAGGCACCAACCAACGAGAGTCTCATGTAACAAATAAAGGTAGAATTCATAAATGTTTAGTTTGTTCAGAGATGTTTAGTGATAAAAAACAATTTCTTAATCATAAAAAAGTTCATAAAAAAGAAAAGAAAGAAAATCAACAAAAAAAGAAGGAAATGGAACAATTTTTTAGTGGAAAATGTAGGGAGGAGATCATGGAAAGGCATATTGCTAAATTTATTTCGAATATCAGACGCCAAGTTGAACATCATAAGTTAGATGTTTCCCTGGATAATTTCATGGCATCTAAGAAATTGAAATTGTCTTGTGATGATAAAGAGAGGGGAATTTCTAATTCAACCACTGATAAGATCAGTGGTAGTGAGAAAGTAAAGCATGTTGAATCCTGTTCTCTAAACACTATACAAGAATCCAGAAAAGATTCATTCATATCTGAAACTTATAAAAGCAGTGAATCATATAATACTGTAAAAAATAACATTAGCGATCAGCAAATGGATGCTAAATTAATTTGTTTTATAGATACTTCAAAAGAATCTACTAAAATAGAAAGAAATGCATTTGTAACTGATAAAGATAAGAGTAATGACACGTGTATTTTAGGGGGAAATGATAATAATAAACAGCCATTAGATGCTAAGTTAAACCGATGTATAGACTTATCAAACGAATCCAATAGAAGAGAAAAAAATTCATTTATAAAAGAAACAGATCGGAACAGTAAAACACGTGGAGTTGTAAAAAAATTCTACGGCAAAAAATCGATAGATTCTGGATCAAAATGTTCTGTGAACACTTCAAACAACTTCAGAGAAGTAGGAAAAGAATCTTTTATAGTGGAAACAGATAAAATTGGTGAAACCACCTGTTCCATGGGAAAAAATAATAATGAACAACCAGTAGAATGTACAATTAACTCTTTAGAACCAAATATGGATGAAAACAGCTACAATATACATACATTAGATGATACAAACTTGAAACAAAATATGGATAAAAACAGCAATAATATACAGACACTAAATGATACATTAAACTCTTTGGAACAAAATATAGATGAAAACAGCTACAATATACATACATTAGATGATACAAACTTGAAACAAAATATGGATAAAAACAGCAATAATATACAGACACTAAATGATACATTAAACTCTTTGGAACAAAATATGGGTGAAAACAGCTACAATATACATACATTAGATGATACAAACTTGAAACAAAATATGGATAAAAACAGCAATAATATACAGACACTAAATGATACATTAAACTCTTTGGAACAAAATATGGATGAAAATATCAATAATATACATATTCTAGAAGATATGTTAAACTCTTTGGAACAGAAGAAAAGTATATTGGCTACAAAACAAACCTCACCAAGATCCAAAAAAAGAAAAGCATCTTCTGAAAACAGTGTAACTTTTGATGTTCTAAATAATAGTAAAAAACCGAAAACAGAGCTATTAAATGTAAATCTTGCAGATTCTGTCCAAAAGGAAAGCAAACAAAATATCATTGGTAGCCTGAATTCTACCGTCAAAAATAAATTTAATAGTTTAAAAGAAGAAACCATACTTATTAGTTCTAAAATTAATAAAGCAATAAAAGAAACTCAGCCCAATGAAGCGTTTGGAAAATCTATGTTAGTGTCAGATCCTTTTCATGATTTACCTTGGAAATAAGTTTCTACTTCAAGAGGTTATTGTGCAAGCAAATGAAAAAAAAAAAATTTAAAGTTCCTTGATTATTTTCTAAAACATGCAATGTTCTTTGTAGTGATATTTTTTTTTGTTGAGAATTTGCCATTACATTGTTACATTGATTATATTTATTTGTAAATTTAGCTGTTGATAATTTCATTAGAAATGCAATAAATCTTTGTTATGTAGGATGTTTTTTCTTTACAGATTTTAATTAAAATTTGATAGCATTCTAAACTAAAGATTTTTGCAGTTTTTCTTAAAAGCCTAAATATTTTTATTATTAATCATCAAATAATTTTGAGATAATATTAATTATCTAAAATATTCAAAGTGTCCCAAAATTCACACAAGAAATTATTTTGATAAAAAATTTAGATTTTTATTCAAAATGAAGAATTGTTTAGTGATTTAAAAAGCATATATTGCATAATGTCACCATATAGGGAGCCAGCATATCAGTATGCTCTTTTGAGCATATTTTCAATTACTCTTTTTATAAATGTGGCTGGATTTTGTCGATATGGTACTCCATTTCACCCTACAAAGCAGAAGTGGTTGTAGGCTTGTTGGAATATATCTTGGACACCGAAAAAACTGAACAGCGTCGAATGACATGATTAGAGCCTCTAACACTAGTCCTCAAACAGGAAATTACATGATCAGAAGATGGCACAACATTGCTCAGCAACGAAAGTGCTTTGATCTTTCATGTAGTACTCCATTTTCAATAACCCTGAATTTTCCGATGTCTTTTTTTCCCATTGGCAACTTTTTATAGCACAATTCAAATCTGACTGGAATTTTGGGACATTTTTTTAATTCACTAGCTATAAGTACTTGTAGAATACTAATAAATTTTTCACAAACTTTTAAAAAGATTAATTAAGTGTAGGAATATTATTAATTTCTCTAAATTTCTAATTTAATATTTGGATTTTTTACAAATTACTCCAAATATTATTATTATTGTTGTTAAATAAATAATCGGACAAACAAATAAATTTCATTTCATTTCAAACCGTAAAAACAAATGAATTTCATTTTATTTGTTTTTACAGTTTCTTTAACTTTTTTCTAATTTCTGTATTTAAAGGATATAATCTCATCTTATCGTTTAATCTAGTTTAAAAGGAGCATTTTAAGCAAATTTTTTTGTGCTTTAATTTTTTTTAGCTCAAAGTTTTTTATTGTGCATATAATCACTGCATCATTCTGCAATTAATATCTTAACTCTAATTTGCTCATTCTCTATATAATTATCTCTAATTTTCTACAATATTCACAGTATAATCCTAAAATATGTTACAATTTTAGTTTATTTTTTAATAGGTAAACTGCTGAATTTGACAAAAAATTTCAGTTTAAAGCAGTTTTTTTATTGCTTATGAAACTCGGAATTCTGAAATAAATAACATTGCATTTTAAAATAGTAAGAAAAGGGATGAAAGAAAATTCACATCAATGTAGAGTGATAGAAAGAATTCAAATATCAACCAAAAAATTAAAAATATCCACAAAAGTAAGCGATAAAATCTTTAAAAGAATGGTAATGAAAAAAATTAAATATTAGCAAAAAATACAGGAATTCTGTTCTGATTTCTGTATATGAGGTTTTGATTATTGTATCAAACTACTTGTAATAAGATAAGATGATTTTTCCAAATTCATTGTTTGTTTTGATTTTTTTCAAACATGTTTTTAGGCTTAAATATATGTTTATACAGTCATATATCTGCCACTGCTTTGCTTTAAAAGAATGAAGTTGATTTTTTTTTTTGCATAGTTAAAATGATTGGGAAATTCAAACATTCCTCCTTGTGTTTCCAGATAAGAAGATATGTATTGTTTCAAACAACTTGTATTGTTATAAGATGATTTTTAGAAATTTATTGTTTATATTTCCCATTTGTTTATGCTTATTTATATGTATCTCTCAAGTCACCTTGCTGTAAAAGAATGCTATTGCATTTTAAAGTGAATGAGCAAGTCATTTTACTCATTTATAATGGCTGGAAAATTGTATACATTTTGTTCATGTTTCCAGATAAGAGGTTTTGTACTCTATCAAATTACTTGCATTGTTGTAAGATGAATTTTGGAAATTCATTGTCTATGTTTTATATTTTTTAATACTGTTACCTTTCTGTAAAAGAATTTTAAAGAAGAAATGGTATTACATTTTAATGTAAATGAAAAAAGTTTACTTATTTATAATGGGAGGAAAATGCATCCTATTTTATTTTGTTCTGGATAAGAAATTCTATTCTGTGTCAAATTACTATAGTGTGATTTTTTTTTTTTCAAAATTAATGATTTATGTTTGACATTCTTTTCAAACATTTTATTATTCTTATATATACAGGGTGTCCTGAAACGACCGCATAAACTCTGCACCGCTAGATTCCTCGTTGGGAGTACATGAAAACTGCCCAAGGAAGCGTTCCTGTACGATCAATAGTTTACGAGAAACAAAGTGTGACGCCACTTCCGGTGCAAGAAAAAACACTTTATTGAACATATCAACAGCAGTATACAATGCACAACTTAAATCAGATGTTCAAAGTGTCCGTTTTAAACATTATCGTCTGGAAAGATATGCAAATACTGTTGCTGGTATGTCCAACAAAGAATTTTTTTTTCTTGCAACGGCTGTGACGTCATACTTTGTTTTTCGTATTTTTCTCGTAAACTATGGATCGTACAGTTTTTATGTACTCCCAACGAGGAATCTAGCTGAGCAGAGCTTATGCGATCGTTTCGGGATTCGGCTTATATTTGTTACCTGGGCATGACTTCATGTCTTAAAATCAGTCTCAAAGTTTTTTAGTGCTGAAAATTATTAGTCACAAAGCCAGAGTTTATGCTAGCATTTTTAAAAGCTGTTAAGCACTACATTTTGTGATACAAGAAAGACAAGTGAGTTATTCAATATCAAATTTTTTCTGAGTAATTTATGTTAAATATTTAAATTCATATAAAAGTTCAAATGACACTATTTACTGCTATATTTTCATGCTGCAAGATATCTATATATGCTTCATTATTATCAAAATAATGCAAATTTAACCCATTTGATAAAATAAAAGATTTTTTTAAGTTTATATTATTATTAATGCTGTTTTGGTTAAATTAACTAAACTATTATATTACAAGAGTAACAAAATGCCATAATTTTTAGTGTAATGTGACGCAGATCAGATAGCTTATATAGTTTCTCTCTCAAAATTTGAAGTTTCAGCAAGAAGTTTTTCCTAGGACTTTTTCAATCCAAGTAAACTCAATTTTCAACCTCATCTAAATTACATTTGTCACTTACTTTCCCACCTTAATACTGTGATTTATGAATTAAAGATTTTTTTTTCTTCCAACTCATTCAAAGTCACTTGCTTTAAGATAATAAGAGGTTTCAAGCAATTTTTTTCTCTTCTGTTTTTCTGAAACTGAAAACTTGCTAGCTTGCAAATTTGTGCCTCAGCCGCTTTTCTGTGAAGAAAAAGAGTTTTTAAAAAAAATATATGCTATTATATTTATCAGTTCTTGTTATATCCTCATACAGTAAAGCCCCGTTTATAGTTTTTTTCTATTTTTATGTCGTTTCATTGTAGCGCCAGTTAATTCTCAATCTATGCAATATAAGAAAATTACTTGTTTATACCACAGAAAACATAAGTCCTTAGTTATACATTTTTTTAAGGTATAACTAAGCACAATAGCAGGGCTGATTGTGCTCCGGAAAAATCCTGATTTCCAGATTTTTCACTAACAATGATCTGGAAGTTTCCGGAGATGGAAGGTCCAGGCGTTTCAAAAAATCAATGATCACAGAAGTTTCCGGAAATCAAATTTTCAAAAATGGAACTTAAAAACACAGTTTATTTTATTTGTTTGTAAGGGACAACCAGAGAGATACTTTATAAGCTTATATTCATGATTAATATTCATTTTTTATCAGTAAATAGTTATTATGATCATAAACTCAAGAAAGAAAGACATATTTGTAAATTTTAATTACTTCTCCTGGTCCTCATAGGTATGTGTAATTTTAAATATATTTTAAGTAAACTAAGAAATATTGAGAAAAAGGAAAAAAAAACTTGTCTAATTTTTTTTAAATTTAAACTTTTTTTTTTTAAATCAAGAAATTTTCCGCAATTTTGACTTCGGCTCACAATTACCCCTCCAATTGTTAACCTGGTTTCGATGAACAATAACTGAAGTTCTAAAAAGAAATCCCTCTCAATTTTTACTGAGTGAAGACCATAAAAAAGGCAGGAGTTCACAGTTGCTCTGCTTACACACTATATCCTTTCAAATGTGCCAAAAATTGTAACGAAGATGCCAAAAAATTGTGTTGTCTTTTAAATTAAAAACTTCTCTGTTTAGAAAAAATATATATATGGTGCACCAACAGATTTATCGCGACTGAATTGAACCTAACTTAAAGAAAATATTCTTTTGTTCTTCATTAATTACAGAAAGAGGAAATTAACACAATTCTAATTATTGAATTAAATTGCTCTACTTTTCTTTGATGCAAGTTGTTTAGCAGAATAAAAGTTAACTGTTCAAAAAAGTTCTGTTTTTATTTTGAGTGTTTTATTTAGATCAGTTGTTGATTTAAATGAAACTATTTCCTTGCCTTTTAAATTCTTTGTGCTGTGTATAAATTTTTGTTTTACCTTATCTATATTATTTTTTTAAACACCTGCGTTTATTAAGAAAAAAATTCCTAAGTCTGTTGAAATCTGAAAGTCTTCCTGTAGTTTTCAAAGTCTAGAGACTTGTAAATGGTGCTTTAGTGTACTTTCATTCTCTCTTATAACTTTGAAGAGAATTTGTACTGTGATATGTATTGTGATATATTCTGTAGCTATATACTCTTTCTATCTGCTGAAAGGCTTGCAAATGGTGCTTTGTATTCCATTGGGACTTCAGTACTGTAGCTATGTATTCTGATTTTTTTTTTTTTTTTTTTGAATGTACAGAATCAAACAAGTGCTGTTTTTTATGAGGACATTGCATTGAGTATTTAAATTTATCAAAATATTCTATGTTTCCTTGTGTACTTATATTTACTTATTTAGGTGGAGTTCCTGTACTCTGATATGTAGTTGCACAAAAAACTTTTTTGAAGTGTTTTTCTTAGAGAATATACATACATTATGGACATAGTCAGTTCGAATAATGAGTCTGAGGCTAGTCAATACAAGTTATTTTTTGAAATTCAAATACAGTAGAGCGCCGATTATCCGAACTGCTCGGGACCGAACGTGTTTCGAATAGTTGGAAAGTTGTTTAAATGATTATTATTGATGCACTAACTTCCCTTCACACTTTTTTCTAGTCTTAGGATTGGCAGTACTATCTAAAATAAAGCTCTGGCGAGTTTAAGACCTTTTTTTTTTTCATTTTTAAATATATTTCTTTTTTACATCTTTTTTCAATTTGAATAATTTTTATCGTATTTCAGCTTTTTTATAACTTTTTTGTCTGATTTTACCACATTTTTCTTTATTTTCCATTGCAAAAGATATCCAGCAAAGACTTTTGTTTCAAAGAACATGCTCTTTTTTGAGTAGC